AGAAAAAGCAAACGCCTGGATGGGGTCCCTGATCTTCAGGGCTTACAGTAGAAATATCTCGTCCTGGAGCTAGCCTCCTCCAAGCTTTCGCAGCGAAAAAATATGCACATCTTGACTTGAAGAAGTGAAATAGACTACCACGAATCCGTCTCGCCACCTTCATGTTTGACGGAAGTCAGCAGCTGGAATCCAAGGGTTTCTTTCCAGGGATCCTTCTTGCCAGCAAAACACCCAAAACCCAGGAACACGGCTGGTGCTTTGGAAAAGGAATCAACCCCTACAGGGCCCCTACAAATGAAGCAAAACAACTGAGTTACCATGAGAAGGGATTTGGAGGATTTCAAGCCAGGAGCCCTGCATGGCACCGTCCACCGCAGCCAGCGCCTTGTCCCAACCTCGACACGTCCGCTGGATTTGTGTCTGGTGGAACCCTCGAAACACATGTTTGTTTCTCCCTTTGGTATGAACCAGTAAAATGGCTGAACATTACATCAGCATAGACTCCAGCTAGCATGGGAGATTGCCACAGCACCCTACAAGCACTGACAGCAACGACGAAACCACCTGAAGCACACCAAACAGCACCTTGACCGGCACCCACACCACCACCCTGCCTGCTGACCAGCACCCTGGCTGCGTCGCTAAACAAGCACTGCCAGCAACTCGAGCCCACACCTTGAGCAAGCTTTACAGCACCCTTGACCAGCACCCTGCGTCGCTTGACAAGCATCACCAGTATCCACGACAGCACCTCAAGCGCACAAACAATACAACCCTGACCAGTACCCAAAACAACACCCTGACCAACACCCTAATTGCATCGCAAAACTGGTACTGCCAGCAACCACCTTGATCACACCCCAAACAGCACCCAGCACCTGCCGTGCCAACCTGGTCCGAACTCGCAAAACAGCCTGCCCATCTTTAGAAGAAAGAACTCTTGTAGCTTTCAGCTATCTGGAGAAAAAGAATCGAAAGGATGTTCCTGGAGGTACCTCCTGTCGAATCTGAGCATAGCGTTCTCAGAAAGAACATGTGAAAATGATCCTATTGTGCTAGGGTGTGGCTTTAGAGCGAGACTCACAAGGGGGTCAAGCACGAAAACAACTTTAGACATGAAAGCGAACGAATTGCACAGTCTTCACAGTGTCTCAGCGTTCAATGTCCTTTCCGCAATCCTTGGACTCCCATACACCTTCAACATCAAATCATGGCCGCCCGCTTCACTAGGTAGTCACTAGGTGTCTTCTTCCGATTGCTTGAATCCGAGAAACAAAGTGCTGAGCCCGGTGAGTTGAACCCGAGGTGAAAATGCGCGGCGCCAGTGCGCGAAGCTCCAGATTCACATCAGGCCCTCTGGGAGCTTTCTGCGCGCTTTTTCCATGGATCAGCGCCTTTCCGGCTTACGTCATGCACATCCGGCGTCGTTTTAACTGTGGACTCACTCAAGGCCGAGACTTCAGAGAGTGCTTCTCCTAACTATGGGGAACTCCCAAACATTGGTGGCTCCCTCTAGTTTCAAAGCCATCCACCATTCAAAAAGGCAGCCCTGAAAAGACATAAATCGAACTCCGCACTGGGCGGCCACGCTGTCGTAGTCCCGGTAAACAAAGCCTGAGCTCGGGTACGGGTCGCTGGCTCAGAACCCCCCCCCTCTCCCGATGGCCCTTTCCTTTTTACTTCTGCCAGACATCTCTCCAGCAGTTCCGCCAGGTCCCAGCCGTGGGAGGCGGGCAGATCGCGGTGCTCGGCGTCCAGCAGGTGGCGCCAAGACTGGGCTCCCAGCTCCGCAGCGAGGCCCAGGCCACGCGCCCCACGCGCCCACGCCTCACGCGACCCACGCGACCCACGCGCCACACCGGCCTCACGGGACCTTAGCGCCGGCGCCAAAGGCGCTGCCACGTGAAGCGCAGCTTCTCGCAACAGCAACGGCCGGGGCGCGGGCGTGCGGGCGTCCAGGGCCACGAGGCCCCGCGCGTCCAGGCCGCAGACTCGAAGCTGCTGCGCCAGGCACTGCGCCACGGCGCAGCCCAGGCTGTGGCCACAAAGCACCACGCAGCGGCCCAGCACGCGGCTCAGCGCACTGGCGGCTGGAGCGGCCGCCCCAAGCAGCTCGTCCACCGGCCAGAGGCGGGCCACCGGGCCGGCGTGCAGCTGCTCCAGATCAAGGAATTCGTCGGCGGCCAGCCGCGCCAGCCCGCGCACGAGCACCAGCATTGGCTGGGCTGAGACCTCCATCACCCGCCTTCACGCAGTTCAGCACCGAACGCAATTGCATCAGAAGCGCAAGGCATCGTGGAAGCCCTCGAAACCCCCATGCGCCCACGTTGCAAAAGCAATCTGTCACCCACGATCACGCAGGTTGCAACTCCGCGGCGATACCTGCCTTCACTGTCACGGGTCTCACAGGCGGCCCGTGTGAGAGCCCGTCCGGACTATGCAGGCTGCTCTCAACCTCGCGACTGTGCAGCGAAAACAACCCGTAAATAAGTCAAGCTCAAACAAGCGACTAAAATCATTGCCACAGAGCTTGGCATCGTTGGTCAGGATTCAGCACATGCCCTGGCTACAATCAAGCAACAACGCCAGGCGGTTTAGCAAATTGGTCTCTAATTTTCAGGAGGAGGGCAGCTCCACGCATATCAAACCTGAGCAGCTAGTCTCACAGCAGGCTCTGTGCTTGAAAATGGAAAAGACACAGCTACGTGCTAGTTGTAGTCGTGTTGGCGGCCGCGAGGCATCACCTTTGCGTGCGCATCATCAAGTAAGATCTTAAGGCGCGCAAGCTGACAGCCTGACTGATTGACAGCCCCTTGCCAAAAGCAGCAAGGGACAACTGCGCCCCCACCCACTGCGTGAAAACAATCTTTCAGCCACGATCACGAATGTTGCAAATGCACTGCGATGCCTGCCTGCGCTGTCACGGCTCTCACAGGCGCCCGGTGTGAGAGGTGCCTCAGCGGACTGTGCAGATTGCATGCCTGGGCACGAACACACCCTGCAATTTCACAGGCTCCAACAGTCGACTGACATCTTTGCCAAAAAGAGCCGGCTTCATATTTGGGCATTGGCGCACGCACACATTCCCGAAGACAAACAGCTGTAGCTCAGCATGGAACACAAAACTTGCCGCAAACGCCGCGGCTGCATTCAAGCAACACCGCGCGCAAGCTTAGCTTGGCCTCGCATGCACAAATGAAGAGGGTTCCGCGCATGCACGCGAGCGCCAGTCTGGAAGCGTGCTCCGTGCTTGACAGAGGAAAGGGAAGGCACAAGCACAAGTGCAACGCTGGTCTTACGCGTAGTAATTGCGGCGGTGGTCCTGATGGAGATGGCGCCAAAAAACCGGAAGGTGTTAAGGAATGCAAGCCGACGCGACTGCACTTTGCCGAGAAGCAGGGGATGCCTGAAGGGGGACGCGATGGCTCAGGAAGATTGGCATGGAATCAGCAGCCAGCGTTAGGGCGTTACGCCGCCTGGCTTTCCTGGTTGATCATAGAAGCTCAACACGGAACATGGGACTTGAAGCCTGTCATGAGCACAAAACGTGCAACCTTCCAATGCGAGTGATTTACAACTTGCTAACCTGAGCTGACTTCATACCCAACCAAACAGAACAGCAAGCCAACCCGGGCACATACTGAGCCGCGTTGTCTGCACTGAAGGCTCTGCAGAATTCACTTGCAATGTCTGCCACAGAGAATGGGCAGCACGGCACGGGCGACATTCACTCAAGACCTTTCATACATGTGCTGAATAGACAGTATCGATCCCTTCAGCAACTCAATACCCGCCGAAGATACTGCCCGGTGACAGCTAGCCGCGGTTTAGATGCAAAGCGCGCCCAAACACCCTGCGAATCTATTGTTTGAAACGGTCCGTTGATCAACTGACGATGGCCAATGGCCATCAACCCGTCAAGACCCTTGGACAACAGGCCTGCGCGCGTGTGTCTTGACTTGAGCCTGTGCCGTTTGCTTAGTCAAGAGCTGCTTGGCATTGCTCCGAACCAAGGTCATCGAACACTGAGGGCATCCCGCTCATCGCCTTGGGGCATCTTTCTTGCAAGCCTTAATGCTACGTAAACAGCTTCACCAAGAATAAGGAGTTCACCGATATGTGGGTCCGATCAAACCATGGTTTCCTCAATTCGCGTGCGTGGTGCGCTTTCCGCCCTCTTTGCTTGCAAGGTATGCATGGCATTGGGCCGCATCAACAGCCTCTAGGCAGCGGCGACAACTTTGCACTGGGTGTAAGTGCCTTGGCCTTGGCCTCAGGACACATGAGCCAACCTTCCGAGAGGTTCGAGATTGCGACAAGTAAGTGCACCAAACCATTGGACAGTCGCAACGACCAAGTTCCTCGGCACCGATGGCAGTGCGGCCCGTGTTCGAGGTTTTCCTTCAGAACGGCCGGTTGGCACTCGCGAACGGCTGAAAGCGAAAGTGTAGAAGCTTGGCCATGTTGGCCAGTTCAGAGGCCTGCCCCTGCCGTGCCCTCAGGACCTCAATGGCCGCAGGCGATTGGCCCCAAAATGGGAACTCAGACCTTGAGTTAGCCCGGCACAGCTGTTTCAGTCGAAGAGGCCACAAGTCAACGCATGAGCGTCTTCTGCGACAGGGAAAGCCCTCTGCGCAGGCCCTTAGACAATCGTCCATAGTTCAAAAGGCGCTTGTCAAGTGCAACTGTTTGCAAAGGCTGCTCCCCTGAGTCCAGTCCGTTAACACCTCTTGCCGGCCCGACACCAGGCGGGGCATCTTCGACATCAGGCGAGGGGACTTTTTATCGAGGGCGGGAGCTTTCTGGGAACTGGAGCTGGCGCTCAGCTGGGCAAGCCATTCTCAGGAATTCCAAGCTAACGTCGCATGAGGTTCCCACTGCGCAAGATAAAGAGATGCGGCGGAAGAGATGCGGAAGGGCCAGGGTTAGTGACCATACCGGTGTGAGTGCCACAAATGAATTTCTCCGTCCGACAATGCTTTCTATGAAGCAGTCAAGCTCTAGCACGCAACGCCGCGCTTTTCATTTGCTTCTTCAAATAGAAGCCTGTGCTCACTGATGCTCAACTTCAAGGATGGGCAAAGGTGCGGCACACACAGCTTGCAAAAGCAGGCTGTGCATTTGAGACTCCAGTGAGCGGGTTTACCAGTGAATTGATCCGCAACCCAAGCAAGGTCGAAGCTGATCGCCTCTCGTAAGTGGCACCATTGAAGCCTTCCAGGAGGCATCGGAGCGCTTGCGGACTTCGCTCGCCCACAGTAGTAACCTGCGACAACTCGTGATTGGTGCATGTTTGATGCTATCCAGCCACAAAAGCCGGCTGCGCAGATCATGATGTGCTTCTCTCCCATCGGAAACCACAAGGGTTAGGTAGTTCTTCGCTTTTCCAGACTTTCAATGTTCCACCCAAAGACCCAAACAAGGAGAAGCCAAAGGAGGATGTTTCACCAGTTTGGCAGTGATATTCGTGCGCAGCCCCGGTGCACATGGGCGCGGAGCTTTTGCACAATCAGTGATGACTTTGTGATGACTTTGTGTACTCCTTTCAGACTCGAAGCGACCGGACGGCTGATCCTATCCAGAGTGAGGGGAAGTCCTTAATTCAAATCTTCCCCACTCCACATGGAATTTCAGGGTCACCCAATTGAATAGGGGCGACAGCTGGCTTAAAAAGACGCGGCGCACTTCTGAGGTGCCAAATGGGCAGGGTGCCGGCAGCTAGGGCAAATTCTTGCAAGAACCAGGGAAAGATCAAAGCCCCGCGATCTTGGCACGGCAAATCGACGTCGAGCAAAGCATTCCGCAAGGGTCTCAGGTACGCTGAGCAAAGCATCTTCTGCCTACGCTAAATGCTACGCGTCTGTGCTTATCCCCGTGCCAATCTAAACGCACGCAATGCAAGCGCCCAAGGTACCTAGCCCCTAGCTGGCGTTGCCACCGGGCTTTGCTCATAGTTGTGAGGGGCCCGGAAATTGCTTTTGGCAACCGAACAAGCACGCAAAAAACGTCACGCATAGCTGCACACCTCACAAGGGTTTCCATCGCACTGTGGAAAAGGCCCGTCAATCAAGAGCAAGTTCCGGAATGAGCGAACACTGCTCATGCCTTTCAAAAACGCTTGTTGGCTTATTCCAGCAAAAAGCACGTACTGCCAGCCACGCTTCTTCATAACGGCGCCCGACCACAATGGCTTAGAACGTAGTTTCGACTTGTTCCGCGGTTTTTGCCCGTACATTTCGAGGATTTCCGCGTACTTTCCCGCAGAATTCCGCACATGTCTGACCGATGTCCTCGCGACATGTTCGGCACACTTTTCTGTCAGCGCTGACTCAACATAGATGTATTCCTATCCCGGAGGCAAGTTTTGCAATGCGTAATCGTGCAACTAGCTGCATGTAGTGTGGCAGCATCGGCCAGGTCGTTTTAATTTGTGGCGCCCTGAGTGTTCCTTGTCATGTGGGTTCCCAGAATTGCGGACTGATGTGCTAGTTCTTCATTGTGGCGTCCACAAGTGTTTAGCTGCACAAGTCTCAGTGGCAGGCAACGGCAACGCCGGAGGAGCAAGAACCCGTCCAAACTGTCACCAGCAAATAAAATGCTGCACGCTCATGCCAGGTGGGGCAGGATCGCGATAGTGGCAAGCGAGACGGATGCCCACACTAACTGCAATACGGTCAGACTTGCTCAATAGATGTGTCCGCTTTGTGTTTAGTGAGCCCTTAATCATTCTCCAAGCAGGTTCTAGCATCTTGCAGGGGCATAGTGCCAGGGCAAGAGCATCGTTTTGGGCACCTATCGCTTTCCATGCAAACTGCAAAGAATACTGTAAAAATGACACGCTAATTAACATCTGTTTGATAGTCCTTTGTTGAAACAGGGCAGACCAGGGCATGCATGGACTGATTGGAAGGCCAGAATGCTCGCGCAAGCTTTGAGAGGGGCACTCCTCTTGTCCTCTTTCCACTGCCCTTCGGGCGAAAAGACCAAAAGGATTGCCACACAGCTGTCAGGTGGTCAATGCAACAAAGTCTTTAGCGGTGAGGCTGAGGTCACTCAAGCCAAGCGTGACAAAGGCTTAACCAAGCCTTTGGCTCAGGCGAGGCCTGTGTGCGGCACAGTGTGAGGCATAGCGGGGAGAGAGGGGCGTAGGGGGTGGGCGGAATTGCGACTTAGATGAAGATGCTAATGGCGCAGCTTCAACAAGCCGTTTTTTCCCGGACATCTTTCCCTCAGCAGCAAACAAGAGGCAAACGCAGAATCAGCACCTTTCAGAATTGCAAAATGTTGGTTCCGCCTCACTGGCCTGACAGGTTTCACCAATACTGCGACAAGGTCTCAAGGGAAGTCTAACAGTCTAATTCTCATGCTCAAGGACATATTCCCTGGAATAGTTCGATCTGGGACTCGGCCAGACCTCAACCTCAAGAATGTGCATAAGTCGCCTTCTGACCCCCTCATGAGCTTAGCCTCCGATCCTCCCTATCACCCCCCAAAATGAAATCAGGAAGTTCAATTTCACAGGGATAGATGGACCCTCAATATTTCATGATGTAGGAGGGGGGCTGGTCAGGCGCAGCGGCAAGCTGTTGCACCACAGACTAGAGTTGGCACGCGCCCACGCACACAAGCACATGTTGCCTGTGTCAAGCGAGGACGCTGCGGCACACATCGCAATGGAACACTGAGTTCCTGCAGAAACGGCAAGGCGATGGCCAGGCAATCGCTTCCTAAGAAAGCTGATTGACATGCGATTGGGCGCATTTCTTGCGACAAGCTTCAGCTTTTCTGCCGCTGGGGGCATCCGGTTGTTTGTTCGAAACAGGTGTGGGCACATTCAGCAGACTGATTGAACTGCAAGGACACTGGGTCACGAACTGCGGCGAGTCGAGCGCAGCAGGAACGAGAAAACTGATGTCCACGGAACTGCCAGTGGGTGGCGGAATGCCGGAAATCGAGCTGATTAAGCAGGACTCAGGCTACATGGCCTCCACGATATGGACCATGCACTGCTCAATCTTGAGGAAGTATGCCAAACCTGGCCGCAAACAGGCTCAGCCCTTCAGCTGACAGCTCATACACTGATCACAGTCCAAAACAAACACCAACCTCGCAGGAGATATCAGCTTTAGGTAGTATGACTAGAAATTGGGCGCAGTCATCAGCGATTCTGGGCCAGCATGTCTTCACAAGGCGATGCACAAGCTCCCGGCTTTAGTGCTGAAGAACACATGATGAAGACCGCACTATCAAACACAAACACACACACACACACACAACAGACACAACAGAAAAGCCATCATCATCATCATCATCATCATCATCATCATCGTCGTCATCATCATCATCATCATCATCATCATCATCATCATCATCATCATCATCATCATCATCATCATCATCATCATCATCATCATCATCATCATCATCATCATTTTCATCATCACCATCACCATCATCATCATCACCATCACCATCTCCATCATCATCATCATCAGCATCATCATCATCATCATCATCATCATCCTCATCATCCTCATAATCACCGTCATCACCGTCATCACCGGCATCGTCATCGTCATCATCGTCATCGTCATCATCATCATGATCACCATTATCACCACCACCACCACCACCACCACCACCATCGTCATCACCATCACCATCACCATCGTCATCATCACCATCACCATCCTCATCATCACCATCACCATCACCATCATCATCATCATCATCATGAGCAGTATCATCATCATCGTCATAATCACCGTCATCACCGTCATCACCGTCATCACCGTCATCACCGTCATCACCGTCATCACCGTCATCATCGTCATCGTCATCATCATCATCATTATCATCATCATCATCATCATTATCCCCACCACCACCACCATCGTCATCACCGTCACCGTCACCATCATCATCATCATCATCATCATCATCAGCAGCAGCAGCAGCACCGGCATCACCATCAACATCACCATCACCATCATCATCATCAGCAGCAGCAGCAGCATCAGCATCAGCATCAGCATCAGTATTCCAACAAACCATGACTGGCAAAATTTATGCAGGGACCAAGGTCAACAGAACCACCTAGGATCCACAGCTTTCGGAAACGTATGCCCCCCGGTAGCCAAATAAGCCCTACTTTGCAAAGGATTCTCTTGAATGGGGAGTCTTGATTGCAACATCTCTCCCGAAAAACAAATTAAGTCTTACCCCGGATGAGTTGGATAGTAACACTCGTACCTTGGCGAAGCCAGCCATTTCGGGAGGTATTCCATTTCGGAAACAAACCCAAATTGAACTTGCTGTTCGGTAAAACCTATCAAACGAGAAATAGCTGGCAAGCCCAGCTGGTCTCAAGAGTGCTTCCCTGAGTTGCCCGGCCATCGAACCTCTATGGGGGCGTTGCCAGTCAGCTTTGTGATCTTGGACAAGAAGTTGTCAAAAGTCAAAGATTACAAACCAGTTCAAAGATGTTTCGCGGAACTGGATTCCTCGGTGGTTACAAGCCCTCGAGATTTGCGGAAAATTCGGGGGCTCTCCTCTCTCAACAACGCGCCAAACTGTACGTTTGGCACGCCAGTCCGGCAAACAACGGAAAGCGCAAATGACACTGCAGCGGGCACCCGCCCCCCGAATCGTGTTGAAGGGGTTAGGATAGCATCCAGAGAGTCTCCTGTAATACAAACTTGTTTGGTTTAAAACCTTTGGTTTCCCTTTGGTTTGCCTGTTGGTTTGCTTTGCGTCTGCCTTTGGTTCGCCTTTGGTTTGCGTTTGGTTAACCTTTGGTTTGCCTATGGTTTGCCTTTGGTTTGTATTTGGTTTCCTTTTGAACCACCGTTGGTTGGCCTTTGGGTTGCCTCTAGTTTACATTTGGTTTGCCTTTGGTTTGCTTTTGGATTGCTTCTGGTTTGCCTTTGGTTTGATTTCGCTTTGCGTTTGGTTTACCTTTGGCGTGCTTTTGCTTTACCTTTGGTTTGCCTTTGGTTTGCTTGTGGTTTGCTTGTGGTTTGCATTTGGTTTGTCTCTAGCTTGCCTTTGATTTACGTTTACCTTTGCTGTGCTTTTGCTTTACCCTAGATTTGCCTTTGGTTTGCCTTTGGGTTGCTTTTGGTCTGCTTCTGGTTTACTTTTGCTTACCTTTGGTTTGCCTTTCGTTGGTTTCCTTGCCGCTCGCCTTTGGTTCCCCAAACAGTGTGTCTACACTAAGGGGTTCTTACGGTAAGAGAAAAGGCCTTGGTGCCAGATTGAGGTGCCCGCTCTGGCCGCGAGCGTTTTGCGTGGTATTTACCGCAGATTCGTGCTCTTGCTTGATGTCGAAGTGCGTTTTGACTGCGCAGGC